TAGGCATTGGGGGTGGCATGTAGTTATCTGGATTCTTTGTAATTGGTTATCACAGTGAAACTGAAACCGTGTATAGAAACAGGTTGAATCAAGAGTGAGCAGGGTTGTTTTTATTTTTTTTTAAGCCTATCCATTCTCTCTTGGTGCTTTATCACAGCAGGCTGTGCTGATTCTTGTTGCGGTGTGAAAGTGCTGGTGATTTCTGCTCTTCTCCAAACACCAGCCCGTGTACCACGGAGGTGGCAGTGCCAGGGCATGGGGGCATGGGGACACCAGCACTGCTGCACAGGCACAGCCAAAACTGCACTGCAGGGCTGTCCCTAATGGGAGAAGTGACTGTTGTTACTGTAATTAGGGGAAAGATGTAATTAAGCATAATGGGCTGAAGTTCTAAATGAGCGCTGTGCTCACACACAGAATTAGGGAAGGAGCAGAAGGTTGGGGTTAGGCCGTGCGCTATGGGAGCTGCACTCGGTGCCATCCCTCCTCCCACAAGTGTGTGCTGCAGTGTCCCCCTTGTGCCCCTGCTCCTGCAGTGCATTCCCCTGAGATCTGGCATCCAGCTCAGCTTGCTCAAAGTCAGAGGTGCTGCATGTAGAAGTAAAGGCTTGCTTTGCAAAGCCTGTGCTGCAGCACCACGCGTGCTTTACTTGCAAGTCGCAGCGTGCATGGTATTCACTCTGATGAGCTTTACCAATACCAAAGTTAGCATTTGGCCTGTGCATCTGTTCAACGTGATACCAGCACTTTTATTGCCCTGGGAGCGAACCCAAGCTTCCAGCTGTGGCCAGATTCACCCGCGAGAAGAAGGGAGCCTTGTTGCAGCAGGACGGCTCCCAGCGAGCAGCGCAGAGCGGGGAAACCTGAGAGCCGTGAGGCTGCTGGCTGGGCACCGCTGTGCTTCTCGGTGTTGCAGCCGAGCACTTTGTCAACTGTTTTTAGAACGTTTCTCTTTGTCTGTGCTGGAGGCTTTGTGCTTCCCTGGCAGTGCATCCTCCTTCCAGACCTGCTGGTTGCATCCCATCCCAGCAGCTCATTGAGCCTTTTTGGCCCAGAGAGGCCGTATCCAGGCCTTAATCAGCACAATGGGGTAAGCGAGGGCTGTGCGGTGTGCAGGTGTGTCCTTTCTGTGTCTGCTCTCTGGTTGGGAAGCTGGAGCTGCCCCAGCTACACTGCAGCCCATCCATGCCCTGCTCTAGCCTTGTGCACGTGCTGTGCAAGAGCTGCTGCTGAGTGCAAAAAAAATCTCCTTGGAGTAACTCGGAGATCCATCCGTGATCGTTGTCCTTAGTGCTGCCTTCAAACTTGAGCTGTTTCTTTCCTGACATATGTTTGCTTTTGACAAAACTCCACATTAGGGCCTCCCGATTTTGGATCACACTGATGTTCCCACTGATGACCTCACTGACGATCCCCTCCCAGCTCCAGGCGCCTCGTGCTATGGTACAGCAGTCCAGCATGCTGCCCCAAAGCTGCCGCTGCGTCCCCGCAGGCAGAGCTCCTGGGCTGCGTGCTGGGCGTCCCTCTGCAGCTCTGCACAGCACTCCCCAGTCCTGAGTGCCCTCAGTGCCCTTCTCCCGGCAGCACTGCCTCTCTGTGCCCCCTCCCGGCCCCCTCTCCTGCCCCATCCTGCTGCCCCCCTGCAGAGCTGGGCTGAACACTCGTCCCGCTCCCACCTACACGCTCATCAGCCGCAGCCCAATTAAGCTCCATAATGTGCAGGGATGACTTGAATGCACCCAGGAACATTTCCCAGAACTCATTAGGTTTTATCCCATAAATACCTCCAATTGTGTGCTCAGGCAGCTGCCCGCTCTCTGTCCGGGGGTGTGTGTGACCCAAATTGCAGGGATGGGACTGGGGGAGTCGAGGGGGCCCTGGCTGCCCTCAGAAACCCCCCAGAGCCCACCCACCACCCCCCGTGCTGCTGGGTGCAGCAGTGCCTCTGCCACCCAACTGTCTGTGCTGTCTGTGCTCCTTGTCTGTAATTCATCCCCATGTTCAGTACGCAGCAAACTGCCATAGCAGCCTGAGCAGTGGTAGGGCTGCTCACCCCCGATCAGGTTTTCATGTTAACTGGAAGCTTTGCTGGTGGTGATAGACGTGAAATGTGGTTTGACCAGTGTGTAGCAGTGTGGTGTAACAGTGCTGTTTTCTATCCTATAGGGCTCGTTAGGCTGGCTGTATTGTTTTTTGGGACGCTGGGCACTACTGTGGTGTGGGCTAGCTGCTGTGCAGGGCTCCTGGGGCTTCTCACACCACAGGCTTCTCTGTGGGTCAGTGGGCAGTGAAATGGGTCCATAATTGGGTTTCCATACAAGTGAGTAGGAGCTGTGGACCAGGCTGGACAAACTGGGTTTGTTAACATCTGTAAAATAAAGGAGTGCTGGGACAGCATTTCCCACAGCTCGCCATGCCTCGACGCAGCGCGTTTGTTACCTGATGCTGATTTCAAGCCTGTGCAAAAAAGAAATATTTACCGTTCCTGTATGCTTCCCCTGCACTGAAGCCTGACTACCAATTACTCTGTATTAAATTATGTTTGGTCATGCCGGTGATTATACAGTATCCAAGCAACCCAGGCATAATCTAATTTAGCACACAACATGGATTTGCTCTGCTCCCCTTCTCCTTTGTTTTTCTGAGAGTGAATGCAGAGCTGAGTGGCTGCATGGCCTCAGGGCAGCGGTGCTGCAGGGCTGCAGCAGTGGCAGTGCTTACATCAGTGCCTGTGATGCTGCACTGGGTGCAGGGCAGTGGGAGCTGGGAGGGACAGCCCATAACCAGTCTGGAGCCCAGCTGTGAGCAGCCACTGCTACCCAGGGAGTTGTGCTGGGTTCCCATCTCCCATCTGTGCTGCAGGAGACTGCAAAGCGTGGGTGGGAGAGAGCCCTGAGGAGGGACCCAGCTAAATTACTGCCAGTGCAGTTGATTTCAGAGTGCGCCGAGGGCCAGGAAGAAACAGCAGGTTAAAGGGAAAATGCAGCAAATACTTGTAAACCTTCTGGAGGGCAGCTCTGGTGTGGAACGAGCGATGTCTGCAGAAAGCATCTGTGAAAAGCACTGGCATTAGGGACACTTTGGTTGAGAACACCCCATCTTTAGAAACCAGGGCATTATTTGCTGGTACAAAGGCAGATGAAGAGGTATAATTTATAGTAAATCATCTTGTGGATAATGGATGTGGAATGTGAAGGATGTGAAAGGTGAATCATGTTTTGTAGCATAGCTTTAGTAACCATTATAACGGCTGCTGGTGGAAAAGTACCCGCGGTGCAGCGGTGCTGTGCCACCCTGTTTGTTCCAGCAGAACCCGAGGGCTGTATGGTTACAAAATGTTGGCCCTTTGCAGAGCCAAAGCACCAGGGCACAGCAGAGCGGGGCTGTGTGTGCAGCACGGCCCTGTCCTCGTTGGGAACCCATTAATGCTGCAGTCTGTAATAATTAACGGGACTGGGTACGGCTGCCTGGCGGTAATAAGTCAATGACAGGGCAATTTATTAGAGTGATGTATTGCGTGATAATGGTAATGAGAAATGAAGGGACCTAATTTTGTAAGACTTAGATCAATTTGTTTTTTTTTATAAATGAACATTGTTTTAGTAACCACAGAAGATCGTTACAATTATTATTTTATTAGTGCTATTCACAACTATTTCAGTTTCAGTCTTCTGAAACCCAAGTGGGAGCACAGGAGTGTGCATTTGAAATACAGATTGTGCTGCAAGGTGAAGATTCCAGTGGCGTTTTAAATGTCTGTTAGGGAGGTGTGGGAGGAGGAAAGGGATTTGGGTGCGTGGCCATGGGGCCACGGTCTGCAGGCAGGGGGGGCTTCTCAGGCACCACGAGGAAACATCCAGGGCTTCCCGGCACCGGGGAGGTAAAAGGGATTTCTGCACCTTTGGGTTGGAACACAAGCCCTGGCATTCTCAGTGTGCTGGTGTGTGCTCTGCAGGGCTGGAACATGCAGCAGACTAGGCTCCTGCCTGCACTGAGTGTGGGGACAAGACTGCGTGGGGCAGGAGCTCCAACCATCCCTGGGTCTGCTGCTGCCACTGCTGTCACCCAGGAAGCCCTGTGTAGGATGAGGAGTGAAGAGTTCTTTTCTGACTCAAATGAGGTTTGGATGGAGAAGGATAGAAAGCTTATTTTATTTTGAGTTTACACTTTGCTGAAATGAGCTGCGTCTGCATGCACGGTGAGCGCTGCAATCTTAGTTCTGTGCTGAGCAATAAAACTCATGGCAGTAACTTGCAGCAGCGTCTGAGTCCTGTGCTCCCATGTGCTAGCCTAGTGTATTTCTCCAGGGAGAGAGATGGCGGGGGAAAGGCACTGCTCTAAAAACATAGGATACGGATCTGTGCTGACACCATCTGAAGTCACTGCGCTTCCTGGTTGAAGAGGGCAGGAAAAAACCACAGACTTGTGGTGATGGGGCTGTGGGCTCCTGCTGCACATCCTCCTTGTCACCTCCTTGTGACTTGCATGTCACTCCATGACGTATCACCACATGGCCTGTCTGGGAGCAAGGCTCCAGTGTCCATGTCTCCCTGGCTGGGAGGTTTCCTTGCCCGGCCCCCTGCAGCCAACCCGATGGGGCTGACCCATGAAGGCAAAAAAAATGGGTGAGAAAGGATTGGATTTTGGAACATATGAGGTCACTTGTTCAGCTGGAGAGCTGCATGTGTCAGAGGTCCAACAATTTGTTTTTAGAAGGGTTTCAAGCATTAATGATTCAAGATGTTTTCCTGGGAGTGGTTTGCAACATGAGCCTCGGTGGCCGGGGAAGCATTGGGGTTTTATGGGATTAGCCAAATCCTGAGCTGCAATGCCTGCCATAACACAACAGTTAAGGCTGTACTTTTCCACATGGCTGAAGCTTCAGGGGGCTCCCCAGAAGTGTCAGGAACGCAAACAGACTTGTAAGCCCGGTGCCAGGCAAGGATGGGAGTCCATCCTGATTGTTCCCATCACCTACTTCTGTTGGTTTTCTTTTGCAGAGTTGCAGATAACCACAAGCAGAACCTGATGACTGTTGCTAATCTGGGTGTGGTGTTTGGGCCAACGCTGCTTCGACCCCAAGAGGAAACAGTCGCTGCCATTATGGACATCAAGTTTCAGAATATTGTGATTGAAATTTTAATAGAAAACCATGAGAAGGTAAAGACTTTACTTGTTTCTATCAGTACAGTTTATTTCCTACACCAGATTTGTCACTTTGCAAGCTGCAGCCCGCTTCCCCAGGGCCCTCCTTGCTGTCCATGGCCAGCAGCCACAAAAGGCCCGACTTGGTTGCTGCTTTTCTGACTACATCTGTGTTTATCCAAGCACTGACCTCCTCTGCAGCGCTGATCCGCTGTGACAAGGCACAGTTGTGTCTGTTTCAGGGATGCTCCCACCTGTTGCTGGCTCTGCTGGTGCAGCACTGCAGTAGCTCTGCTGCAGCTGGAGGACTCCTGGCCCTCCCCTTAGGGCGTTCACTGACCCCTGGGGTTCTGGTCACCTTGGAGGTGATAATGGGAGAAGGCTCTCAAATGAATGCCCGTGGGAGTCCATGTAATTCTGCAAATGGCAACACTAAAACACTGAACTGTGAGCATTGCTCACAGAGTGCTTGTGCATGCATGGAGTGGCGGTGAGACACATCATCCTCCAGGGCCACTGACCAGAGGTGGTGTGTTGCTGAACTTCCCATGCAGTGCTGCTGGGTGCCTGTGATATGCAAGCAGCCCGGGCCAGGGAAGATGTGATGCTCGGGGCTGTCTGCTACTCGGGGCTCTCTCCTGTTAGTCCCTCAGTTGCGTGTGTAAGCTGCAAGGCTGAGTCCCACGTGCATGTGGTGCAGGTATCAGCCCTGGGACTCATCTGCCTGGTGCTGCCGAGGGGCAGCGAGTGCACGTCCAGCAGGGATGGATGGGATGGTTTGCATGTTGTTGGAGAAATTTCCTCCACAGGCAGATAAACACCGTGGTATTTATTTAGCATGGAGGAGCTATTTTCTCTTATCTTTGTGGGGTGTAGTTACAGTGATTGCTTAATTGTGGGCTGCTGCAGGGGGGAGTGCGAGCAGCGGCTGCGAGCCTGTGGCTGAGCCCCAGCCCTGTGCTGAGCAGTAGGCATGAGCATGAGGCTGTTGGTGGCCATCTGCCTGTCTGTCTGTCCATCCATCTGTCTGTCCATCTGTGGTGTCCCAGCAGTGGCACCAGGAAACCATTCAAGCATCGTGTCACTGCTGTGGGTGCACTTCGCTGTCTCTTTCCTCGCTGAGCCCCATGGCTGCCTTCCCCTCACAGATCCTTGCAGAAGCAGGGCCTCAGGCTGGTTCTTGTTCAGTTTGAGCTGAGCCTCCTCCATCAGATGGCACCTGGGGGGATCGATGACGGATTTCTGCAGTGATCGTCTGTGTGGGCTGCAGTGCTGCTCACCAGCAAAGTGACACCTGGTGCCGCAGGGCTCCCGAGTGCTTCCATGGCTACCCTTCCTTTGGAGTAATTTATGGCACCAGCAGAAGGGAAAGCTGTGACTGGGCTGTGTGCTGCCGTCACACATCGACTGCGGGTGGGCGTTTGTGCTGCGTGCTGTCTGTGCTGCCTGGCTGCTCTCGTGCAGTGGGTACTGATGGTGCAGGATGGAGAGGTGATGCTTGCACTGTCTGCACTGCGCTGCCCGTGCTGCCTGCACTGCCTGCACACAGGCACGGGTACCGTGTGGCACAGTGATGCTGCATGCAGGATGCTGTTGGAGCCACGTCCCCATTTCTCCTAGATTCTCCAAGAAAGAGGGAGGTAGCAGGAGGCAGCGACTGGGAGGAAAATCTCCTTTAAAGTCAGTCCCGGTGCTGGTTCACTCCCTCTTTAGGACTGTTTAGTTTCAGTGTATTCCTTAATTTGAATTGATTGGAACTCATTGAAGTTTCCCTGCAGGAGCTGCTGTAGGTGATTAACAATATGTGAGCCCTCTGTGCTGCGCTGCTGCTGCTTTATATTGTTTTACACTGGTGACTCACAGCCACTGTTTATGATTAAGTGCATTCTCAGGGAAAATGTAATTGATTTGAATGGTTCCTGGCAATCAGCAACTGTCTGGTATTACATTATATTTCCCTCAGGTAAGTGGGATGCCTCTCCCATTAAAATTGCTGTTATCACAGTGAGGCACAGAGCGCTGTGCTGTGTGTGTGCCCAGAGCTGCAGTGGGGTGGATGGGAGCCCTGGAGCTGGGGCAGATGTGCAGCGTATGTTTGTAAGAGCAACACACAGCATAACCTGCTGCAGGATACATGTGGGTTACGTGTTTTTAAAGGGATAAGATGGTTTTTCTGCCATGACAAGCAAACTGAGAGTGAATCCTCTGCAAGAAACCAGGGATGCTGTGTTGTACTGGAAAATTGCAGGTGTCCATCCATTTTTATTTTCCAAAGCTGCTCCTTTAATAATGCACTGGAAAAGGCAATTTGTGTTGTATGAAGTGTTGGGAAATGATGAGATCGATGTACAGTGCTGCTGGTGCTCCCTTCAGACCAAGGAGGGGGCAGCTGACCTGCGAGTGGCTCGGTGCTGCCCACCAACAGGGCTGGTTCTGCAGGGTGTTGCCCAGACCCCAGCACTGCCTCTGTCAGAGTTAACGCTGAGGTCATCTTTGTTTTCTGCAATTAGCAAAGCTTTGTAGCAGCGATGCCCTTGGCCTTGGAGCTTCCAGCTGAGGCTGGAGGGCAGCTCCTTGCAGAGCATCTCATAGGTTTGGCTGCGTTTCACCGGGGGTGCGAGTTGCTCCAGGAGCCTCCAGCTGCACATTGAGCATGGGGGCTGTATGTGTAATTTATGGAGCCTGGCTGCTCCTCTCCCACTCTGATGATTAAACTGTCTCGCTCTCTCTGTTAATTAGACTCTGGGATGGGAGAGTTATAACACAGGTTTGCTCGGTGAGGAGCATGTCTCAGTTATTTTTCTCAAACTGAAAAGTGAAACAAACTGAAGAAGCATTGAAATGAAGGAGAGCAGAGCTCCCTGTGCTGCTGGGCAGGCTGGCAGGGCTTCTAGGGGTGTGATGCTGCAAGGCCACCTCTAGCAGGAACTGTTTGTTATATGGCTCTGACTCCTCCCTCTTTGGAGCTTCAAAATAAGCACTGGTCCTTTTGGACAGGCAGCTAGCTCTTGACTTTCCTCTGTTGAGAGTGGTCACATTTAGCTTGGGTGCTGTGTGCCACCCTTAAGGGGTTGGGAGGCAGCTCGGTGTCGCCCTTCCTCTGTGTCCTGGTGGTCCAGCTGTGCGCTACCCTTGTCCAGCTGTGCACTGCCACATTTACACACCTGGGTGCCTGCTGGGGTTCTTGCCCAGGGCATTCTTCCACCACCTGCAAGGGCACTGCAGGCCCTTCACCAGGAGCAGCCTGCCGGGTTGTTGGGGTTTTTCACATTTTGCACTCTATGTGTTTGGTGAAGAGTAGAGAAGAGGAGTGCAAACAGAATGAGAATGTGGAGTTCAGGAAATGATGCCCCACATGTTACGTTATTGAATGCGTGACCTCCGTTGATGCTGTTCCTTGGTGTGATGGCAGGATGCTGAGGGCAGAGAGCTGCTCTGCTTGAGCAGCTGATGCTGAAGAGACCTCTTTGTTGGCCCTAACAGATATTTAACACCGTGCCAGAGACGCCGCCGTCAAACTCACAGCTGCTGCTGTCCCGCAAGAAGAGCACAGAGTCCAAGCCTCCATCGTGCAGTGAGCGGCCGCTCACCCTATTCCACACCGCACAGCCCAGCGAGAAGCGTAAGTGCCCCCTCACCCAGCCCTGCCCCGTGTCACTGCACGGCACCATTCCCCTGCCATGGAGCACAGCTGTGCTGGTGCTGATGAAAGATGCATCCTGTAAGGGGACAGGGCCTCTGGTCCCTGCACTGCTGTGCCAATGGGGAGCACAAAGCCTGCCTGGCATCCCAGGCTGCAGCAAGGCTTGGTGCAGGATGCACTGGTGTGCTATAGAGTTGCTGCCCCGTCCCCATGTCCCCAGCAGCTGAGGGGCACAAGGCAGAGCCCATGGGGTGTCCAAAGTCGATCCTCATTTCTCGCTGGAGAAGTGAGGCACTTTTACAGATATAGCGAGCCCTATATATGTTCTGTATTTTCCTGTGGAGTAGGTGCTATGATCGTTTAAAAATGTGGAAGATCGTCTTTCCATTTTGGTCTCTATTTGGTGCTCCAGATACGTTGGTGAAGGAGTCAGCATCCCCTCCCATCTCGCTCTGCACAGGGCTGTCTCGCATGCTACAGAGCAGAAATACACAGCAGGAGTTTGCAGTTCTGCTCCCTGAGCTGTGAGACTGAGCTAAATGCCTCAGCAAAGAATCCTTTGCTTAAACTGTATGCGGTATCAGACTTTTAAAAAGGAGGAAATAGAATAAAGGGATGCTTTCCAATTCTGCCATTCATCTCCCATCCTCTGTAGATGAAACACTTCCAGTTTCTTGGCTGATAGGGACTTTAATTCAATGTTGGCTGGTAGCTGTGTCTGAGATTACACAGACAATTGACACTGATTTGTTAGGCTTACAGAGCTTATTTTCGAACTTTAGCCTCAGGCAGAAAATGTTTGGAAACAACTGGATGTGGCATCTGAATAGGCTGCAGGGCGCTGCCGGCCGTGCAATGCACAGAACGGCTCTGAAAGCTGTGCTGCTGGGGGCAAAGATCAAGGAGTGCTTTGCATTGACCTTTTTGGGGCTTAGGGCCCTTTGGCAGGTTAATTTCTCCCTTATTTCATCTGCTGGCTGCTCTGTCTTCCAGTCAGTGTTTGGAGAGTTCCCTTGATAGCCTGCTGGAGACCAAGATTCATGGCATGTAGTTTCAGGAACTGGTAACATGTGTTGATGTAATTATCTCATCCTTGGCATTGGCTGATCTCTGGATGATAGCCTGATCTAAATGGGGTTTGAGCCTCTCACTGCCTTGTAAGCACTCTGACTTTGTCCAGGCACCACAAGAACTCGATGGCACAGTGATGTGACCAGGATGTTGGTCCGCCCCCTCCCTTTGCATCCACGTCCTTTTGGTCATGTCATCCTTTTCTTTTGGAACAGTGGCAGAGGGCTCACCCAGCATCCCACCTCCCCGTCCCTGAGGCAGCGCTGCTCCCAAGCTATTTTCCAGGCACGCAGGGTTTCCTCTCTGCTGTGTGCTCAGGAGTAGCTCTCCATGTAGCTCAGGAGTTTCTCTTACACTGCTTTCTCCTTTTGTGAGTATTAATTGTCCTAATGCAGATGTGTAATTGGAAGGGATGTATAGTTGGATGGGCTTGAGAATAGGGGGTGCTTTGTGACCATGTGCTTTTTAGTAGCAATTTCATCGTATTAGCGTGCACAGGACATAAACAAATCTTTCAAAGAAATTCTTTAAAGTAGCACTCCTTGTGTTTTCCAGCAGTTGTCTGTCTTTCAGGAAACATCATCACAGAAGTGGCAGTTCTCTGCAGTAGAGCAGCTTTCTGTGCCATCAGTGATGATAATTGCCTCTCTCAATTACAATTACAATTGCTGCTTATACGGAAAAAGCATCTTATGAAAATGAATTAATGCGATTTTAGGTAATTCAGCACAGAGATGAGGAGGAAACCCATGCTGTGGAGGTTGCTTTGGGATGCATAATGTTTTCACACCTCAGTGCTGAAGTTACACAAATTAGGGGGACATCTCTTAGCAGGGCAGGATGAAGGGAAATGAGGAGAGCTGAGTCCAGGTATGGGCAGTGAGCTGGGCAGCAGGGCAGGTTGTTCTCCTCACTGGTGTTATCAGCAGTGCTGCACTGTGATTGTAGACCTGGGCAGAAAAGGCAGCTAGTGGCTGATGTCATGTTTAAACTGAAGCATTTTTTTGTTGGGATAAACTTTAATTGGGTGATCTGTCCTTTTCTCCTCCCATAACTGTTATCCCCTCTGAACACTTTCAGATCTGTGGTACCTGATTTCAGCCACAGACAAATTAATTCCTGCGTGTAGTCTCATCCCTTTCTTTCTTGGGTTATGTGGTCCTTTGGAAGTCCTTGGGAACGTAAAGTATTAATATCCTGAGAAAAATCAATATTTTCTTGCTAAAAATGTTATTCATGTTGCATCTTTAGAAAGAGAAAAGAATAACTGTTACTTCTCATACTTTGAGGCATAATACATAGAAAACATGCCTGGGAACTCAGTGCCTGTCTGTGGAGGTCTGGTAGGATGCTGCTGAATTTACACTGGGGCAGGGGTGATGGGCAGGAGCCTCGTGCCTCTGTCTGGCAACTCTTGGGGTTTTTTTGGTGTTTTCCAGAGGAAAACAGAAACAGCATCATCAACTCCAGCCTGGAATCCGTCATCTCTTCAAATGTAAACAGCTTCCTCAACTCCAACAGCGCGCCTCAATCCAACCTGAACTCAAGTGATCTCGAACTAGAAGTAATTAAACCCAACAGGCCGAACTCACTGTAAGTATGGTGGTAATTAGTGTTTTATAGGCTCACCATCCTTAATCTTTAATCAGGGCTGTTTCTTGCTCTGAATCCCAGCAGTTTGTTGAAGAATGCAATTTAATGCTTTAATTTTTAATGGCCGCTTAGGGCGCGTCCTGCACGTCTTGGTCTGAGCGGGGGATCAGCGGGGTGGGTTTGCTCAGCCTGCCTGCAGGGTGTGCTGCACGCAGAGCCCTGCATTGCTGTTTGAACTGCTTGACCCGTCTGGAGATAACTCCAGCAAACACAAAGGACTATTCTTCTGACTTAAATCTATGACTGTTGTCAGTACCGTTGATCTCCAGCCAAATCTGTGCCATTGCTTCTGCTATTGCTTCCTTCATCTGAAAAGTTCAAGGGAAAAAATAGCGACTTTAGCAACGACTCCCGGGGGATGGCTGAGCTATTTGTGCAGTCCCCTGGATTTGACACAGCCTCGCACCGCGGACGGCTCTGCCATGGGGAATTTCCTTCCTGCCGTGGCCCTGCTGGGCCGGCGCATTTTCCCACAGAAGCTCCTCTCCTGCACACATGAAGATGTGCTCTGAGCCCCGCAGCCACGGTCCCTCGAGCCCAGGCTGATTCCCCGTTTCCACGTGGGTCGGTATGGGGTGGCCTTCCTGCCCCGTGTCCCCACGCAGCCTGCAGCACAGCCCCTTCTCACCAGCCCTTCAACCAGGCCCGTAGGAGCCTGTGGTGAACACTTGGGTTCAGCATTTTCTCCTGGGTCCGCACAGAAGTGGCTTGGTGCCGCTGCTGGTGCCCCTGGCTGTGGCTGTCCTGCCTGGCGTGGGGTGCAGCGCTCGGGCAGCAGCATGTGGTGAAGGTAAGTGCACGTGTGCAGAGCAGGGCTCTGGCCGTCACCCATCAGCATCACCTCCTTCCCACCGCCTCCGCTGCCCCAAACAGCCAGGCCTTGTGTCAAGGCTGCACGTTCCCCGATCTCAGTGCTGCTGGTGGCCACCGTGGGACGCCGTGATGTGGAGGTACCTGTCCACAGGTAGGACAGCTCTGTGCTCATCTGCGCTGCTGGGTTTTGAAGTTTGCTCAGATGCATTCGTTTGTCTTTAAATGTCTGCTTTTAACCTCATTTGTGGTCCCATGAAAATGTTATTGCTAGGTTTCCTCCCCAGTGCTGCGGTGGCTGAATGGACCCAGATTGTTTTGCTCCCTTTGCTTGCTGGCTCCATCCGGCCCACGGTGCTCAGCCCCACTCCACACTGGGCAGCTGGGGGCAGCAGTAGGAGGTGTGGGTGGGACGGTTGGGGTCAGAACAGCCTGAGTGGTGCCAGTGTCCCACAGCGCCGTCCTATCTGCCCTGCTGTGCAAATAACACCTGTACAAAGCTAGCCCTGTTCCTTTAAGCAGTGCAGTGGCTGGGGCTCTGCAGTAATTCCCGGATGCCCTTGGGCACTGAGGTCAGTTGCTGCTCTCTGTTAGAGCTGTGAGAGTTTCCATCGCTCCGCTGCAGTTACAGGAGCGCAGGGTGCGTGGCAGCAGGCTGTGTTGCTGCCTTGCTCTCGGTGCTTCTTCAGCTCCACACCAAACCCTCTGCCAGACCTGTGAGACCCATGGTGGAGCTCCTCTTCAGGAGTTTGTCGTTTTCTTGCATTCTTTGCTGTTTTCTTTGAGTTTTTGGCTGTGGGTCAGGGCTGCCCCATCTTCTCTCAAGGCGGGGGCAGCTCACTGTGCTGTGGTGTCAGTGCTTGCAGCACAGCAGCTGCAGAGCCCCAGGTGTGAGGAGGATGGGAAGCCCCGCTTTCCTCCTGTAGAGAAAAAAAGGATTTCTTTTTGAACAAAGAACTCCTTAAGAGAACAAGCAAGGAATCCTGGATTTGGTGCTTCCTTCCCTAAAGCAGCAACAGCACAGCTTAGTAAATGAAAAACTACTCCAAAACAGAATTGATTTTGTTTTTTTTTTGTGTGTCTAAAGTTAGCATTGAAACAGAGGAACTGATGGACGCTGCATGCAGCCATCGCTGACCACAGCCTTTTCCCTCTTTGCTTTGCAGCTCTCCAGCAGACAGGTTTGGTGCCATTGCTGCTGATGGATGGGTTTGGTGCCATTGGTTGCCCTGTTTCAGGCCCCTGGCCCATGTGGGCAGTGTGACATATGGTGACCGTGGTTTATTCACTTCTTGTGTGTTTTTGCTTACATGAGTTATGACTGATAACTGCTGATCTCAGTGAAGTCAGTTGTGTCCAGAGGAGTACAGCGGAGCTCTGAGGGGTCTGGAGCACACATCCTATGGGAAGCAGCTGAGGGAACGGAGGTTTTTTCTAACCTGAATAATTCTGTGGTTCAGTGGTGAAGAATTACAAATGCAGGGGGATTTCTCGATTTTGTTTTGCTGCAGTGAGCCCTGATACATTGCAAGGTGGCCTTAAAATGTGACATTTAATAAGTGAGCGCTGTCTGTGGTGTGGAGATGTGTGAGCTTTGTGCACCCAGCTCCCCACCCCAATGGTGAGCAGTGCCGTGCTCTCAGGCCTGCTCTGTGCTCCTGCTCCTCACATCTCATGCAGAGCAGCCCGTGCCTGCGTGTCAGGGGTTTGCCTTCCTCAGTCCTGATCCTCCATCACCAGCCGGGAGGGAAATAGTTCAGCTGTAGGACGAAGGCTCTTCCCTCCCAGCCACCAATCAGGGTTTTACTATGGGAATGCGCTGATTTATTAGGGCTGGGTTTATTTTTATGGAAGAAGCGCTCGGGGCGGGAGCTGTGCTGTGAGTCAGCAGGGCTGCTCCCCGCCAGGAGCTGTCGCTGGGCACGAGGGAGCGGAGCGGCTGCCTGCTGCCACCCCCTGCACGGGCACTTCTTTCTTCTGAAATGATCTCTGCTTTTCTTTACTTCTGGCGTTGCAGAAAGCTGCGTTAGAAAACGTGGCAGGACAAAAGCCAGAAAAGCCTGTGTTTCTAGCACAGATAGATCCTTCAGCTGCAGTGGGGGAAGTTTTCAAAGTAAATTGCGCGATCACGGTGATTTAAGAGTGTGGTTATTAAAATCCTCCAAACGAGCACCTCGCTCTGGTGGTGTGGAGATGCATTCCTGTGGGGCTGTGGGTCAGTCCCTGCAGATGACCACAGGAGCTGTTTTTCTGCTGGGCACGCTGGGCTGACAGCCTGCACCCTGCTTGGTGCCTGCCTGTTTCTTGTTCTCTCTTTATTTCCCAGCCTTGTCTGTACCCTGTGCTGCCCGCAGACCCCATCTGCCTGCAGGAACCTGGCCGTGCTCTGAGTGCTTGCAGCTGAGCAGGGCTGGGTGCTGTAGGCTGGCTCAGTGGCCTCTGCTTGCATGTATCGTGAGTTCAGTGCATGGGTCTGCAGCTGCTGCTGTGTGGCACTGCTGCTGGGTGATGCTGCTCCTGCTGCTGGGTACTGGAGTCTGTAAGATCAAGGGCGGCTGGAGCTCACTGGATCCTGTGGATGGAGCAGCAAGGGTTTCAGTTTCTCCTCTCTTGGCAATTTCTTTCTGTGCGTGACTGTTCTGGAGGTGAGGTGGGGCCGGCTGATTTTCTCCATGTAACCAGACAGGCGGGATTTTTGCACTGCAACTTCACAAAGGCATCAGCCTGAGCTCTTATGACTGTGAGCATGCAACAATGCCCAGGGGGCTTCTGCCTTCCCTTTCAGAAGGAGAGCTTTGCACCACAAGCATAGCGGGGCTGTGTGTGTTGGGGGGGGAGCAGCACCCAGAATTCACTGCCTGCCACTGTGTGCCCAGCAAACAGCACTGTGCTGTGGGAGGGGAACGCTTCTCCCTTCCTGAAGTCCTTGGCTGTGTCTTTGCAGTTCTGTTTCCCAATGGTAGCTCTGAGCATTTATTTTATCACCTCCCACCCTTTTAAATGTTTTGCTGCCAGTGAAGAATGTTCCACCGCTTCTGATACAATAAAGTGCAGCCCAACAGTACTTTTGGGATGGTTCTAAGTGACATGGAAATTTCCAAACAGTTACTTCTTAGAGTTTTCTAATGCACTCCTAGGGATAGTTAATTTCTGAAGTTACAAAACCCTCCGTGTATTATTTAGCAGTGTTCTCAGAGACAAAAGCTCCCATTTCTGGGCCGCCTGCATGGCAGCATGCCTGGGGACCCGGCCAGCACTCGTGGGACCTGGCAGCTTCGGCAGGGTCGTGCAGAGCTGCTCTGCCCTCAGCCATGAGCATCAGAGAGAGGGGCTCTGGGGACATCCGCAGAGCGTGGGTTGAAGGCAGCAGTGGACTTTGCCTTGCTCTGTTGGACTGTGTTGTGACGGGCCGTGCCATGCTTGGTGTGCTGTACCATGTCATGCCATCCCTGCCCTGCTGTGCCGTGCCGTGCTTTGCCCGGTGCCCTCGCTGGAGCTCTGCGGGCAGCACATGGCTCCACAGCTCTCTGAGTGGTGACAGGGCAATTCAATCCCCGGGATAATTTTAGAGCAGGTTGTGAGGCTGTCCTTTCGTGAGGACACCACAGCTCCGGCCATCCCAGGCGGGCGCCAGGCAGGCAGCAGGGCAGGCTGTCCTCACACGCCTCGTCCTCACTGGGCATCCCTCCTGGCACAGCGCTGGGGTGAGCCTGGCTGCAGAGCCAAGCACGAGGCTTCCAAGGCGCAGCCGGGCACTTGGCGTGATGGGAATCATGAGAGCCCCGCGGGAGCCCCTTGGTTTGGGATGGAGGCCAGGAGCTGCGCAGCTCACCCCAAACTCCGGGAGCTGGGGTATGGTGAGAAATGGGGGCTGCGGCTGCCGGGGGGTGAGGGTGGGGGCAGAGCCGTGGAGCCCTTCGGGGCCCAGGGAAAACCACAGAGCCTGAAGAGCAGGAACCACCACGGTTAGAGTGGGGTGAAGCATGGAGGTGGGGCAGGAGGATTTACCTGAGCAGAGCAGGCACGAAAATGCACATTTTTCTGTGAGGTGGGACCGGAGCGTCAGTTGTGTGGGTGGCTGTCTCCAAAAATACCAGACACACAACTCTGGGTTAGCTTTGTTTTTCTAA